AGAAATGCAATTTGGGCTTGGGTGCTCAGGCCTCAGTGAACCTAGAGCAGGCCTCAGAGGACTGAATCACGGGCAGCTGTGGCACTTTCCAGACTTCTCAACCCACGAATTCCAAAGACAACTTAGAAGATCAGTGGGAAAAGTCTGTGTCTTCGTTAAGAGAGAAGCTAGGTCTCAGCCCCAGTTCCCAAATGCGGCCCCCAGGGTGGCTGCTTCCAGAGCTTCTGCCCCACAGACTGAGGGGGAAATCAAGTGGCCTCATTGACCAGAGGGGACTACAGGGATCTCTCTGCTGGTGCAGGGTTCTCTTGCTTTGCCCCTGCTTGGATCTGGGTCACAGTTCTGGGTGGCAGCCCTGGGGCAAGGAGGAGTGCTGGCATGATGGAGTTTGTAGTGGCTGTGGAGAGGAAATCCTCCTCACAGTTCCAAGGCAGAAAAGAGTGCTTGTGGTCGCTCACAGGCCAGAGCACAGGCCAGAGCACAGGCCAGGAAAGGAGTAAATACCTCACCCTAATCATACCACCTTGGAAGAACTGAAAATTTACAGGTCCCTAGAAGTATCTCTGAAAACAGCTGCACAAAACCCCTGATGCTTGGGACAGTACATTCTCCACACTGGAAGCAGACCCTTACCTTAATAAAGAGTTTATAACTCAAGTAATTGATTGAGATCATGAGCAAACAGCACAAAAAGAGTCAGACCATAGAATCTTACTTTGGTGACAAAGAAGATCAAAACATACAACCAGAAGAAGACAACAAAGTCAAAGCTCCTACATCCAAAGCCTCCAAGAAAAATATGAATTGGTCCCATGCCATGGAAGAACTCAAAAAGGATTTTGAGAAGCAGGTAAGAGAAATAGAGGAAAAACTGAGAGTGATGCAAGAAAATCATGAAAAACAAGTCAACAGCTTGTTTGGAGACCAAAAAAAATGCTGAAGAAAATGACACCTTAAAAAATAGCCTAACCTCAATGGCAAAAGAAGTCCAAAAGGCCAATGAGGAGAAGAATGCCCTAAAAAGCAAAATTGGCCAAATGGAAAAGGAAGTCCAAAAGCTTACTGAAGAAAATACTTCCTTAAAAATTAGGATGGAGCAATTGGAAGCTAGTGACTTTATGAGAAATCAAGACACTGTAAACAAATCCAAAAGAATGAAAAAATAGAAAACAATGTGAAGTATCTCATTGGAAAAACAACTAGGGGCAGCTAGGTGGTGCAGTGGATAGAACACTGGCCCTGAAGTCAGGAGGACCTGAGTTCAAATCTGGCCCCAGACCAAACACTTGACACTAGCTGTGTGACCCTGGGCAAGTCACTTAACCCCAATTGCCTAAAAAAAAAAAAAAGGAAAAACAAATGACCTGGAAAATAGATCCAGGAGAGAGAATTTTAAAATTATTGGACTGTCTGAAAGCCATGATCAAAAAAAGAGCCTAGACATCATCTTTCAAGAAATTATCAAGTAAAACTGCCCTGATATTTTAGAACCAGAGGGCAAAATAGAAATGGAAAGAATCCACAGATCACCTCCTGAAAGAGATCCCCAAAGGAAAACTCCTAGAAATATTGTAGCCAAATTCCAGAGTTCCCAGGTCAAGGAGAAAATATTGCAAGCAGACAGAAAGAAACAATTCAAGTATTGTGGAAACACAATCAGGATAACATAAGATTTTGCAGCTTCTACATTAAGGGACCAGAGGGCATGGAATATAATATTGTGGAAGGCAGAGGAGATAGGATTACAACCAAGAATCACCTACCCAGTAAAACTGAGTATAATTGTCAGGGGAAAAAATGGTCATTCAGTGAAATAGGGGACTTTCAAGCATTCTTGATGAAAAGACCAGAGCTGAATAGAAAATTTGACTTTCAAATACAAGATGCAAGTGAAACATGAAGAGGTAAACAGGAAAGAGAAATCATAAGAGACTTATTAAGGTTGAACTGTTTATATTACTGCGTGGAAAGATGATATTTGTAACTCATGAGACATTTGTCAATATTAGAGTAGTTGGAGGGTAAAAATTATATGTATGTATATAGATGGATAGATAGATAGATAGATAGATAGATAGATAGAGGGCACAGAGTGAGTTGAAGATGAAGGGGTGATAGCTGGAGAATAAAATTAAGGGGTGAGAGAGGATTATACTGGGAGGAGAAAGAGAGAGGTAGAATGGAGTAAATTATCTCACATAAAACAGACAAGAAAAGGTTTTTACAGGGGAGGGGAAGTGGGGGAAGATGAGAGGGAATAAGTGAATCTTATTCTCATAGAATTTGACTTATGGAGGGAATAACAAACACACTCAATTGGGTATAGAAATCTATCTTACTCTACAGGAAAATAGTGGGAGAAGGGGACAAGAGTGCAGGGGGATGATAGAGGGGAGGGCAGATTCGGGGAGGGGGTAATCAGAAGCAAGCACTTCTGAGGAGGGACAGGTTCAAAAGAGAGAATAGAATAAATGGGGGATGTGGTAGCATTAAGGGAAATATACTTAGTTTTTCACAACATGACTACTATGGAAGTGTTTTGCATGACTACACATGTATAACCTGTATCAAGTTGCTTCCCTTTTCAATGAGGGTGGGGAGGGAGAAAGGGAGAAAATTTGGAACCCAAAGTTTTAAAAACACATGTTAAAAAATTGTTTTAAAAAAAAATTGTTTTCACATGCAACTGGGAAATAAGAAATTCAGGAAATGGGGTGTAGAAATCTATCCTGCTCTACAAGAAAATAAAAGGGGAAGGGGATTAGAGAAGGGGGGGTGAGATAGAAGAGAGGGAAGAGTAGGGGGAGGGGTATGCAGAATGCACACCATCTTGGGGTGAAGGGAGGGATGAGATGGGAAGAAAATTTGAAACTCAAAATCTTGTGGAAGTGAATGTTGAAAACTAAAAATAAATTTTAAAAAAGATGAAAAAAACATGACTAATGTGAAAATATGTTTAATAGGAATATAGCCTATATCAGATTGTATGTCATCTTGGGGTGGGGTGAGAGAAGGGGAGAAAAATTTAAAACTCAAAAGCTTATGGAAGTGATGGTTGATGAATCAAAATAAATTAATAAAAGGAAAAAAAAGGGAAAAAAAAGAAATAGTATTAGAATCTCCAACCTTTCCAGGTTACTCCTAAAGGGAAAACTAGTCAGTTGTCCTCTGGGAACACAACTTGCTGGTATAAGTGGAGGCTGGGAAAGTGAGCAAAAAGGGGAGTGTTACACATATGAAATATTAAAATAAACAGAGGAAGGCCTCCAGTACATTGGGCAAATCCTCAATGGACAATTTGTGGAAAAGCATGGACAGGAATCACTCAGGTTCAGAAAGCCTCTTAGTGTTGTGGAAAGCGCACAATATTTGTGTTTATAAGTCATGGATTCATCACAGCTCTTCCATTTATTACCTGGGTGACCATGGGCAAATCATTTGCCTTCTCTGGGCCACTCTACCTGTAATATTGGGGGAGTAGTGGATTATCTTTTAGGTCTCTTCCAACCTTAGATTCTATACTCTGAGATTAGGTACAAAGTTGTTTAGTGTTATTTCAAATGTTATCTATTGAGTCTTTGTGCAAATAAAACTTAGTCCTCCAAATATTTATAGTATCTTTTAGGAAACAAGATGAAAGCACAGGAAATTGTCTAAAGAATAATCAGAGGTAACATTCATTGTCAACATGAGTGTCACAGAAGGTGAGTGCTCACAAGTGTCAGAAGAGAGATCCCTTTCAGTTTTGAAATGACTTGGCAGCTTCACTGAGACCTCACAGGAGACTGCCATGGGTTTAACTACTAGGAAAATAAGAAGGGCCCATTTTTTTGCCATGACACCTTACCCTGCCCCACTCAGTTGCTAGAGTCCCCAGTCTGGGGCCATGTTGTCCTTACTGGTGAAAGGCAATTCTCTATCTAGCCACCCTGAAAACCACTACAATCTTTCACCTCATCCATCTCTCTGCCATGCTGCTGCTCTGACCCATTCCCTGTTTTCTTCCCTTCCATGCCATAGTTCTGGCTGGTAGGGGATTCAGGTTGGGATAACCTGATAAATGGATAATAGTAAGGATGGTATATATCCATATAGTAGGTGGGTCAGATCACTGATGTCTCTGTGGCTCCTCATCAGGGAAATAAGTTTAACCCTGCAAGCCAATGTGCAGCTACTGAAAGATTATTGATAATGCTTGAGCTCATCTTCTTGCCAAGGAAACCATTTGTACCCCAGAGCAAAGAGAACTCTGGAGGAGAATGCTATTTGGCACCTCACTTTTCAGAACCAGAGAAGTTCATTGGAAAAGCCTAAAAGGAGAAAGCTTGGGAAAAAATTACCAAAGGTGAGAAGAATTGTAAGTCATTTGCCAATCTTCCTATGGCTTGGGCCAATGCCTCTTTTTTTTGGAAGGAGGAAGAGAAGAAAAAGAAAAAGAGGAGGAGAGGAAATGTAGAACAGAATGTGGAAGAGAAATGGCCAGATATTGAAAGGGTTCAATCAAGCAAAATATAAAAGGAACTCCTCAAAAAGAGTAGGGAGAGGGGGAGTGGGAATTGGTTCTCTACGGGCTAGGAGCTTCAGGAAGGGTTTAAGGAAGGATGGATGAATTTGGGAAATTAGGCTGAGGCGTGTTCCTAATTAAATTAATTAAATAATTTAATTAGTTTATTAATTTTTAATACAAAGTCCAAGGGACATAAGGGTCAGCATTTGTCCTGGGTATTTGGAGCTGGAAGAGATCTCAAAAATTCATCTAAATGCCCCCCCACTCACTCATTTTAGGGATGAACAGCAGATGCTAACAAGAAGCCTCGAACTAGGCTGGCCGGCCCCTACCTAGCCCCCACTCTCAGACCACGCCCCTTCCCCCTTGCCCGCTTTGTCGCCTGCTCTAACTGACAGCCATTTTCTCCAATCACCGCATGGCAGGGGCGGTGCTCCGGGATCCGTCGTCGCCCTTCCCCTCTCTGCCCCGCCTCCTGCCCCCTCCTCGGAGCATGCGCGCACTCTGCTGCGGCTTCACGTCCATGTCAAGATGTGGGGTCGCTTCATGTGTCGGTTTTTGTCCGGGGGCACGGGGCAGGGACCAAGGGTCAAGGCAGAGTCCCAGACCCGAAAGAGTGAGACCTGGTGATTGATTCCCAGGATGGAAGTTGAGGGGAGGGGGTTTGTTTCTAACTGAAGGAGCAAAGTGTATGTGGGGGAGGGGGGAGGTGAGGGAGAGGACCACGTGAGGGCGAGAGACAATGACGGGGGAGGGAAAGGGAAGTGAGGGAGGGGGAGGAGGACGAGGGACGGGGAGGGAGGGGGAAGAGACGAGGAGGGGGGAGGGAAAGGGAAGTGAGAGAGGGGGAGGTGTGAGAGAAGGAAAGAGAAGTAAAAGGGGAAGGAGAGGGAGGTTAGAGGATGGTGAGAGAGGGGAAAGGAGGGATGACAGGACACTGAGAGGGGACTGGGAAGGACAGAGAAGGGGACGTGGGGGAGGGGAGGGGACAGTGAAGCAGGGAGGAGGAGGACGGGGAGGCTAGGGAGGCCTAATACTCTAATGCACAGAAGCTTTAACCTGCTCAGCCTTTCTGATCTGGGTCACTTACCCCTTCCTTTTAATTTTTAATATTTATTTACCATTATTATTATTTTTATTTTCACATTAGTCAAGTTGTAAGGAAGAATTAGAACCAACAGAAGGAACCACAAGAAAAAGGAAACAAAACAAAACAGAAAAAAAGAACGAATAGTATGCTTCGATCTGCATTCAAACTCCATAGTTCTTTCTTTGGATGTGGATAGCATTTTCCATCATGAGACTTTTGGAGATGTCTTAGATCCTTGCATTGCTGAGAAGGGCAAAGTCTATCAAAGTCTATCAACAGCAATGTGGCTGTTACTGCATTTCACCCTTCCTTAGGCAACTTGGTGGCTCCCTGCTCCTGAATGCTCACAATATGGGCTGGAAGGCCTCCCCCACTGCAGCTTAGAACTCCTAAGCTCAAGATCTTCACCACCAGCAGCCTCCCGCAGCAGCTGAACTACAGCTAAACTCTAGATAATGTTTGTAGCCATGTCCTATGGTGTTTTCCACTGACATCTTACTCAGTTGCCTCAGCATGGCATGAATTCTGAAGGATTATATTAGTGTAGTATAAGCTTTATTATGTCCTACGGAGTGGGAAAGGTTTTGTGCATGATTCTGGTGATAGACTTTGTGTCTGTCGTTTTAAGACCTCCCTAGCCAAGTGTGGAAAGGCTTATCATACTTGAGGGTTGAACAACAGGAAATGAATTTTTGGCCATAATTCCTGAAACCATCAACTAAGGTTCAGAAGATTTATGACATATATTGGTAGAGGGAGCTTCCACACTTAGAAAGTTACAGATCTTTAAATATGTTACATTTATTTGACACTTCAAAGTTTACAAAGTGTTTACCTCAGCAACTGTAGGTAGAGTATCATTTTCCCCATTTTACAGATAAGAAAACTGAGACCCAAAGCAGTTAAATGGCTTGCCCAGGGTGACAAAGTGTCAGAACTGGTACTTACTCAAGCCTCCTGACTCAAAGACTAATGTTCTTCACAACTACGTGACACCAAATTTACAAGTAAATACCCTTTTCTGTTCATTTCTTTTCCCACCGTTATAGGTACCAGATGTACCTTAAGGAGTCCCGGAAGAGGAAGGTACTCTTTCCTGGGATGCTGCAGCCAGAAAAGCTAAGCCACAAAGAGTTGGCTGACATGATGAAGACAGCTGTGCTGTACCACAATGGTGAGGAGGGGGAACAGAAGATGTGGGGATCAATAAACCTGATTCTAGCATAGTGCTTTCACCCACCAGGCCCCCTTAGGGAACAGGAAGGGGACTAGTGTCAGCTCCATGCTCATTTTTGTTTAAATACCGTATTAAAAACTTAACATTGTCAGTGCAACCAACTAAACTTGTTTGGTAAGTCTTTACATTTAAATAAACTATCTTCAACACGTAAGTTATTAGTAGTAGCGTTTCAGGTTTTCACAGTCCTCGTCACAATTCTTTCCCCATTCATTTTCTTGATTTTTCTCTTTCCTAGGTAGTGTGTACTTCATAATAATGGTTCTGCTTTTTGTTTTCTGTTATTTCATAAAGTTCTCTTTCCAGATTTCTTTGTATTTCTCTTATTTATTCCTCTTCATTATAGTATTCCATTACATAAATACAAAATGGTTTATTTAACCATTTCGTGTATCATTACCTGTTCAGGTTGTTTTGCAATCCCATCTTCATTTCCAGGGTATTTATCTGAATGTGATGACTTTGTGTTTTAGGACCTCTGGTGGCCCTGAACAAACCTCCGGGACTAGCAGTGACAGGTATGGCGAGGGGAGGGAGTGGTATGGGTCAGAAGACTATTGGGAGGGAATAGGAATTGGGATTAAGGCAGTAATGGAAATGGGGAGAAGGTAGGTTAAAGAATTTGGGATCTAGAAAGCCTCATTCCTTTTCTCCTTGTGTCTCCAGGAAAACCAGAAGAACTTACATTGCTCTCAGTCCTTCCAGAAGTAGGCCAGCACCTGGGACTCAGTCAGGAGCTTCATGTTGTCCGAGCTCCAGGAAAGTAAGTTACTGATAATGCTAAACCAGAAATCAGAGGCGCAGGTCAGGTTGAGCTGAGGTGAGAACTGGATTTGCTCAGAACCGTATGTCAGGAGAGTTAAGTCTTTCCAGCAAGATTGGGGACTGGAGACTTCCCCGCAAGGGGTGGAGATTAATTTAGGATGGTAGGAAAAATTCCTACGATGAGAAACCTAGGTTCTATTCCTTGTTCTGCCACTTAACTATGTGTGTGGCCTTGGGCAGCTGACAGCCGGCTTCACTTTCTTCATTTGTAAAGTGAACCGTGAGATCCATTTTGAGTTCTGTAGTGGAAAGCTCACTGGACTTTCAGTCAAGGGAGGACTGGTTTCAAATCCTGGCTTTGTCACATACCATGCAACCCTGCTATCAGGTTCATCGCTGTGCAGTGGTAATGATAATACTACCTACTTCAGTGGGTGGTTGTGAGAAAAGGGTATTATAAATCCTAGAGTGCTCTAGATACATGAATTATGACAAGTATAACGTGACTTTTTTTTTCTTCCCCTCCATAAGGGAGAGCTCAGGGCTTGTCCTCCTCTCCAGCTGTCCCCAGATAACAAAAGCCTTCCAGAATTTCTTCAGCCACTCTCGAAGAGCTCAGAAACCCACAGTGACCTACTGGTGAGAGGCAGCTGCCAGCTTCTACTGTTGTGCCTCTTTCCATGATAACTGCCCTGGGACGACTGCCCTGTGACCTCCCCCCTTCCTCTGTTTCCCCCTCAGGGCTGTGACTGTTGGGATCCCAGCTGCTTCCAAAGGTAAAATCCAAGTTGCCCTGAAGCTGGATCAAGTTGGGGGAATGGATCTGGTAAGTGAAGTGTTAACACTAATTTCTTGCTCCATGGGAAAAAGGAGAAGATGAATTCACATAAATTTGGTGAAGAAGGTTTGGTGAGGGGGGCAGCTAGGTGGCGCAGCCGATAGAACACTGGCCCTGGAATCAGGAGGACCTGAGTTCAGATTTGGCCTGAGACACTTGACGCTAGCTGTGTGACCCTGGGCAAGTCACTTAACCCCATTGCCTAGTCAAAAAGAAAAAAAAAAGGTTAAAAGGTTTAGTGAGACTCTGTGTGGCTGATGGTCTCACTAATCAGGAGCCATGGTTTGGGTTAGGAATCAGCTGAAAGCAACTGGCACCCCTGTGGCTTTATTCTTACAACATTTGGGGGCGGGGTTGTCAGGGCACATTAGCGTTTTTTTTTTTTTAAGTGGTTTTTCTTTTCTGGGGGACTGGTCACAGGTAGTCCCAGTGAAGGCCCCATCTCGACAGACCTTAAAGGAGGGTGTCAAGGAAACTCTGACCCACTTTTTTGTTCAGGACTCCACATCTGGCTGTGCTCTGGTAAAGCTCCAGCCGCTTACAGGTAGGAGTCAGGGCCATCCACCAGGGGTTCTGAAACTTTGTTTCAAGGAGGCAAGAGTTGAGGTGGGCTTAGTACAGATAGCTAGTACTTGGGATTGTCCTAGCAACTCAGTGTCTGGCTGGGGAGATACTGGGGAGATAGAAGAGCTATCAGAACGTAGAGTAGGACCTCAGGGCTAACCCCTGGCTCAAGAAGGCAGCTAGGGAGTTCTTGGTGTGACTGTTCTTCTTGTCCCTAGCATTTCCTAGCCAACTTCTGGTGCACATGATGCTTCAGCTATGTCCTGTGCTTGGGGATCACGTGTATTCTGCCCGAATTGGCAGTGTCCTAGGCGAAAACTTCCTGTTGCCAGTGGAGACCACAGTGCCTCAGACACAGGTACCTGGGTTTTCTTTGCCTGCCTACCTGGGTGAATTATTTTTATTCAGAGTCCAGTAGCAGGGTAATACCTTTTATCACTGGTGATGCAGTGTGATCCAACAGAAAGCTGACCTGTGCGGGTGGTAAGAGACCTGGGCTGTAGTCCTGGCTTTGACATTAGCTTATTAGTTGACTTTGAATATGTGAAATAAATTCTTTGACTCATCTAAAATGAAGGATTTGGACTAGATTTTTAAATTGCCTTTCAGCTCTAATACTCTGATTATGTATTGATAAAAAGGCCTTTGAACTTGAGGTAAAGAGAGCTCGGATTCACATTATCCCATTCTGAGCCTTCAGTTTAAATGAGAGCAGCTGTTTGGGTTTTCTTAACTGTTAGATCCATGCCCTTAGTCTTAATTCTTTTCTACCCTCTAGGTCCTCAATGAGCTGCTCCTCCGCCGCCTCCAAATTACTGCAAAGGAGACGGCCCTTCTACCCCTCCACCTCCACCTGCATCAAATCCTTCTACCCCAAACCTCCGTGGCCCCCAGAGTGCTCATAGCTCCCTTGCCTCCTTTCTTCTCACAAACCCTATGGAACTTAGGGCTCCAAATGTCAGATCAGCCCAGGAAGAAATAGCACAGACAACATTCAAGATGGCTCAACGAGACAGATGTTTACTGCCTTTGGGGAAGGTCCGAGTGGTGAGGGCTGGGGAAGATGGCCTTCCTCCTTGTCTGGGGAGCATGTGTCCAGTCCCTCCTCCGTCCTGGCCTTTTTGGCCTAAAAGAGGAAGGTGGGCAGATTCTTCCCCTGACCCTCGGATCCCTGCCGAAGTTAAGGCAAGCTGACTTCCTACTGAGTAGTAGTTTGGTGACCCTCTTTTTCTAGAGGAAGGTGACTCCTCTCATTTATTCTCTGGAGTTTGGGCCCACCTCAGGAAATTTTCAGCTTGTATTTCTCCTTGCCCATTATGAACTATCCCTATCCCCTATTTCTGTCTCTGTTGCACAGTGACTGTTCCCTGTGAACTGCCTTCTGCTTCCTGGGCTTGACACCTCTCACAGAAGTGCTCCTTTATCACGATCCCTGATTAGCTTTTCCCCTCCCCCTCTACTTTTCAGCCAGCCAGGCCTGGCAATCTGTCCCACCCCTGCCCTAATTACCCCAGCAGTAAACATGACAAAAGCAGTATGTATCTCAATTCCATTTATTTTTGGTCCAGGAAAATTTCTTTGGCCAGGACTTAAGTTTTGGGGGGGGGGATGTGAAGTGTGGCCAGGAATGTCCTAATTTCATGGTCTCTGATTCATGGAGTTCTCTCCTGGTCTTTCCAGACTGGTGAACGTTGGAAGCCAGGTGCCAGTGGGAGTCACGAACTTGGGCATTCTTTATAAGAGCCTTCAGCAAAATATGGTCTGTTATCAAGCCTGGGCTTTGAGTTGCTAAAGGTGGCAGGAAGCTGCATTTCATCTTGGAGCAAATGGGGCCCAGAAGCGTTTCCTTTTTCTGTGATTTGAGTGGATGGAGTTCTGAGTGATCTAAAACTGCCTTCTGAGGCTATGGGAAAAAGCTGATTGGAATTTCTCAGGGGAAAGGATGAGGGGTTAGTAAGGGGTAGTTTGTCTCCCTCCCTCCCGCTTCTTTGAATCTAGCTTTGGGATGAAACCAAAGCACACATATAACTTGCCTCTTATACTCCTTTGAGCTTGACCACAGCCAAGGCTCTAAACTGGGGACACCTTGCTGGGGCCAAGGGGCTCGGTCCAAGCAGGGGTCAGCTCCCACTGGCTCGGCCTAGACCATGGGAGACCCTTTTCCCTCCCTCCTCCCTCTTCCCTCCCCAAACACTCCCAGTTCTCAGCACAAATCAGGCCCCTCAGGGTTTGGGGCCCACCTTGGCCTGCTTCCCACAACTGGAAACAGGCTCTTTATGAGCAGGGAACAAAAGCAAAGCCCTGCCCGTGGCACTGAAGTTCTTGCAGGGAATGGGTGTTTTTGGGAGCTGCAATCTGAGAAGGAAGGTACGAGGTTTGAGTACGCGGGAATTGGGCAGCACAGGCTTACTAAGGAAGCTGGGTAATCCCTCTGGCTCTGTGGGAGAGGAAGAAGCAGGAGAATTAGAAGCACTGGTTCCAGTTCTGTTTTCACAGATGGACTAGTGTCCGCTGGAGGCCCCAGCTTGGACGTGGTAAGTTGTGAGAAAGCAAAGGAAGCCCCATAGGAGAGCCCCAAGCACACATACTTCCTCTAGTAGAATTTGCTTGGAAACACACTGATTGTGTGTGGACTGATAAGTTCTCTCCCTCCAAACCATCCTAGAGTGTAATAACACATGCACTCATGTTTCTGAGACCCACTCTGGAGCCCTGAGGGTGATTTAAAGCTAAGAAATAGTGTGACCTTAGGCAAATCCCATCCCCATTCTGGGCCTCAGTTTCCTCATCTGTAAAATGAAGGGCTTGGGCTAGGTGACATGAGATTTAAAGTCCCTTCTAACTTAACATCCAGTAAGTCTATTAATAGACCAGCCTAGTTCCCTACAAAGAACCTAAGGGAGTGACTCCTGTACTTTTGTCTGTACTACTCCTTTGGTATTTATAATATACTATCTTGCGTGTTACTGTTTGCTCTCCCTCTGGAGGGCAGGGGCTGCAAACATACCAGAACTTATGCATCCAAATGAATGTTGTTCCCTTCAAAGTAGTCACTTAGGAGGCTATACGCTTATTCCAACGAGACGCCATTACTCAACACACTGTGGGAACTACTCTTTGGAAATTGCATTCAGGGCCTGTGGTAGATTCTTTTGAATATCCTCAAAGGTGGTAAATCTTCATCCTTTGAGGAAGGCTTTGATTTCTGGAAACAGCCAAGAGCCTTTTGGAGCCAAGTCTGGTGAAGAAGGTGGGTGATCAAGCTAGGTAATACCATCCATTTTGGATTAAAAATGAGATGTGACTATAAAGTAAAGAGACTGATTTTCTTATGTGGCTCATAACCTGGCTCTGAAGGCAATTCCCAAAGAAGAGTTCCCAACATAATTTAAGTAATGGCCGCCTTGTTAGAATATTATGTGTAACCTCCCAAAGTGATTTCACGGAAGTGAGGGGTAAGAAACTACTCTTTTGAAGGTCTATGTCCTGATATGTTTGCCAATAATTCACATAGGGCTTTACAGGCATCATCTTATTGGATCTTCACCACAACCCTCTAAGACGGGCAAGACACATTCTATTCCCATTTTATTATGTGCATGGACCACCTGGAAGAAATGTTAAAGCTGGTGGTCAGGAAACAGGTCCAAAGAGGATCTGAGACCTGCCCAGGGTCTGACTGCAGGCCGGTCACAGAGCCAGGACTTGCACCTAGGTCATTGGTCTCCAAGTCCTATGCTCTTTACATTCTCCTGCCTTTGTTTACAAACCAGTCTCATTACATTACAGTCATACATTATGCCCATAGGATTTCTTCTTGCACAGCCAAGCATCTGCTGGGAGACCCCAACCTCTAGCCACACTGGTGACAGACCACAGGGAGTGGGGAGAGGCCAAAGAGCAAGAGGAAGTCGGCTGAGGGCCCTAAGCAAAGATGTTGCCCTACCTAGAGACACAGAATTCTTCAGAAGCAGCTGAGGTTTGTTCATGGGGTGAAGGTGCCTTCCCCGATTAACAATGGATGCTGGTGATGCACAGAAGAGCTGGGTTATCTTGGGATTGTGGATGTGCCATTTCTGGAAGCTGGCCTGGACAGTTTCTGTGGATTGTTTGGTGTTAACTGTCTTTTTTCCCATGCTTATGCAGTCTGTTTTTTCAATGAGTCCCAAGTTCTTCCTGCCTCCAAAAGCTTTCCCGTGATGGTGGAAATGCCCTGATGACTTGAGAGCAACAGGCATGGAATCAACCTCCTCAGGCACAGAATCCTTAGCCTCTTCAGGCACAGAATCCTTAACCTCCCCAGGCATGGCCTCTTTAGCCTCCTTCCGCATGGCCTCTTTAGCCTGCTTAGGCTCCCTAAGGTATTGACGTGCCAGTAGACGGGATGGTGCTCTTTGGCTTCGGACCGTCACAGGCTTCTTCATAGAGGAGCCTTCAACCATTAGTCGGATCCCCACATAATGGGGTACCTTCACAGCCGCCTAGAGGGCAAAAGTGTTAGTGGGATAGACAGTTCAAGCACTCTGAAACTTCCTCCACCTCTCTCCCTGCAATGCAGAAACAGCCATGAGGCAAGCTAGTGAATGAAATCCTTTCCTGGGGAGATTAAAGGAGGATTTGTGGGACTTATTTTCCATCAGGATGGCAAATGGGAGAGAAAAATAGGTACAGCCCTGTTAGAGGAAGGGGATCCTATTCTCTGGAATTCGATATCCAAAGGAATGAGAGTTGTGCCTAGAGACCTGGGAGTCAACCAGCTGCTGGAGGCTAAATGGTTTAGAAACAGATAAGACAAGCTTCAGGTCTACTTACTGGTCCCTGAACATCTTGTGCTTTTAGGGCCTCAGTACCATGCATTCTCCTTACTGAGAGTGCTTTCCTCCCTCCTCTGTCCCCTAAAGTCATACCCCTCCTCTAAAACCAGTTCAGACCCTTTTTCATCTGTGAGGACTTTTGTGCCCAACCTAGCCCAAAGTGATGTTTTCTTCCATTGCTCTATAAAAAGCCTTTGATGAAGGACTAGAATCTAATATCTAGAAGGACTGAGCTGTATCAATGTATTTTTTTCCCCATAAGGCAAAGAAATTAGAAATAGGATGAAAAATTTTATTTCAAAGTAAAGTAATACTTACCTATAATTGTTTGTATTTTAAATGCTTTGTATAGATAAAAGAAGTAGTAAAATTATTCAAAAAATTTTTTTTGCATCAGTTGACACACCTGGTCCTTCTAGTGTTAATATCTTTGCTCATCTTTTAACAACTATCAGAGACCCCCTTTTAATTTTTTTTTAGGAGTGTATATCTCGTTTCCTCAGCTAATCATTAGAGGGCAGAAATGATCATACTTTCCTGTATCCTCACCTCACATCCTCCCCCTTGTGCCTAGGACCATGTCTTGCACACAAGAGATTGACTGGGGCATCAAGGATCTGAAAGGTTCCTTTTAAAAGAAGGGACCACAGTTCAGATGATATTTTCCCCTCAGGAGACCCAAGGAAGGGAAGGGTTGATGGCCCCAGGACCCCCAGCATCTCACCTGCTTATAAATAAGCTCAAAAGCACCAGTGTCACAGTTTCGGTCTTGTCGACGGTCTATGACTACACGCAGTGTATCAGCCAGCACCCCAGCACAGAGTCGGGTGGTAACAGCTGTGGAAGGTGCCATAGTTGGACTGGCATTGATTTCTATCAGCCAGGGATGGAAATCTTCCCCAAATACAAAGTCAGCCCCATATAGCTCAAAGCTGCCTTTGCGGGATTGCACAGTGTCCTGAGAAGTCTGTAGTACATGGATGACTGCAGCCTTCATGCCTGGAACCATGACATCTGCCCAAGCCTCAGGTGCCCCTACCTCCTGCAGGTGAGCCTGGAACTTCTGGCTGCACCACATGTTGTCGGGGGGCAGCAGGGGGTGACGAGTGTTAGAATTCTCGAAGTGCTTCTGGATTGAGTTGTTGCAAAGATGCACAGAACTAAATGAGAAGGAGGAGAAGCTAAGGCCCTCTCCCACCTCCCTTCCCCTACCATGTCTGGGGGAGGGGGGAGAAGACAGACAACAGAGCCTGATTCTGACCTATTTCTATAGGTTCTGGTTGCTTCTGCCTAGAGTTGTCATAGTGACCAGGCCTGGGTCATCTTTCCCTCTAAGAACTCAAATTCACCTCTGGGTAGATCTCAGGCTATATGTTCTGATGCTTTAGACCAAAATGTAAGTATGTCAAACCCCTTCTCAGGTTCAGCTCTCTAGGTGCCAGTCCAGGGCAAACTGTTGCTCACAGAGACAATCTTGGAAGAGTATCTCTAAAGGGATCTGGTGCCAACCTAAACTCATGGATTTGCAAAACCTGGGCAATTTCCTAAAAAGGATACAATGCTCAATGAAGATAGGAAACCTGTGTAAGACCTTCCAGTGCAAACTTAGCCACGCAAACTTGGGCAAATTACTTGACTTCAATCTCCTCTTCTGCAAAATGAGGCTATTGGATTAGTTGGTCTCCAAATTCTCCATGGTTCTAATATTTTGTAGTTCTAAACTGATAACTACATTAGACTCCAGGTCATTGCTACCTTAGCCCCTAGTAAAAATAATTCACATTTACACTCAAGGTTTACAAAGGAGTTCTTCACAACAGCCCTGTGAGGTAGGTTGTACAAGTCATATCCCCATTTTATGAATGAGGAAACTAAGGGTGAGAGATTACATGACTTGCCTAGAGTCACACAACTAGTAAATGTTTGAGTCAGAACAGGGACCAAGGTTCCCTCTGAAAACAAGTTGTGAATTCCATCTGCTATGTCATATCACCTCTCCACTTAATCTAACCCTGGAAGGAAGTCCCTTCATTGATCTCACAGTTCTAAATTGCCTAGCCATCCTACCCTTTTCCCCCTTTCCTACCAAACCTAGGAGGTGAAACAAGTGGTCAAGGGGAGGCAGGGGACATTGTTATCTCCTTGGGTCTAAACCCTCCCATCACCCAGTTTACCTGTCCAGGTTCCTCAGGGAGAAGGGCTGGGTGGAAAAGCGGATATAACTGTCCCGGTAGAACCAGACAGTTAGTGGGTTCCAGTCAGTCACTAGGAACCACTGCCTCAAGTCGAACTTGGTGCCAAAGATGAGTAAAGGTCGCTCAATATACTTCTGTACCACCCACTTGCCATCTTTTACAATCATGGGGTCACAATCCACCAGCTTTAACATCTCTTCCAGGTGGTTCATGCACATAATGCCTGAATAAGAGAGAATATAGGAAGGAACAGAACTCAGATCCTGGGAATCTCAGAGGTCTACAGCAGAAAGTGGTAGAGGACCTTGCATAAAGGGCACTAACTCCTCTGAGGTGTGTGTGGTTGTAAGGTTTTGTTATTCAGTCATTTCCGTTGTGTCTGATTCTTTGTGACCTTATTTGGTGTTTTTTTGGGGCAAAGATACAGGAGTGGTTTGCCATTTCCTTCTCCAGCTCATTTTATAGATGAGGAACTGAAGCAAATAGGGTTAAATGACTTGCCCAGGGTCACATGGTTAGTATATGAGGCTGGATTTGAACTCAGGTCTTCCTGACTCCAGGCCCAGTGCTCTAGCCACTGTGTCACATAGCTGCCCTAGCTATAAGGTAATGAGCCTAATATTTTTCCAATTAATAACTTTTGTAGTTCTTTTCCCCCAAACATAATTTCCCACAGTATATCCTAGCCCCATTAAATTTTACCTTGAAATAAATAAAAATATGAACAAAACCCAATCTACAAAGTGACCATGTATGATAGTACATGCAGCATTTTGTGTCTGTTCTTCTGCACCTCAAAAAGAGGTGTGTGCTCTTTGCAATTAAACTTAGTGTAGGAGCATTTTAGTGTTGTTTTATATTTTTGTAGCCATTGGGTATACATTGTTTCTCTTGGTTCTGTCTTTGCCCTGTATTAGTTCATACACATCTCCCTTGTTTCTTAGAATTCTTCATATTTGTAATTCCTTACAGAGCAGTAAGATTCCATTACATTCATACCACACTTTTGTTCAGTCAGTTCCCAATTAGGTGGCACTAGCTTTGTTTTCAGTTTTTTTGCTTCAACAAAATATGAGCCTAATTTTTATTGATTTTTGAGGGGGTTCTGTCATTTTATTTTCCCAATCTATCCCTTCTTCATTTGGAATGCTATCCCTTTTTAAAGAAAAAAACAAAAAGGGGGGGAGCATTTCTCCAAAAGCAATCCTACATCAACCAACTTTGACACTATGGGGCGTTGTAGCCTCCCCACCCCCAGAAAAGGAAGGCAGCTGAGCCTAATTCTTGGATAAAATCCACCTGAATGGATGCACTTAAATGTGATGAGGTGCACCTGCCATCTCCAGTACCACTTCATCATCTCAAACAATGGATTAAGTATTGTTGCCACTCCAAGTGATTACACTTTGAAGGTGATGAGGTATTTTTGAATGCACCCTTGCCGGTACATTTGAAATTGAGTCACCCCTTGTTTGCCAAAGATGTATTTTACACACTGGGCTAACTCAACTGTCACAAGTGCTGTTCTCAGTGCATGCTGATCTTCCCTTGTCTCATGCTCTTTTTGTACCACCCGATGAGTAACGATGGCCCCACAGATTTACATCTGTAGAATCAGAGGCATAATAGCTCACATTTGCTAAGTACTTTACAGAATTCCAAAATGCTTTCCTCATAACAAGCCTGTGAGGTAAGTAATGCAAATATGATTATTCCCATTTTATGGATAAAGATGAACACCAGTGACTTGTCTAAGAACATTTCTTTACTCATCTGTATCACTGACTGAGATTATGCTCAGAGAACGACATGGGGTCTTTCTCTCTCTACCTAATCCTGCAAAGCAATATCCTCCTACCCTCCCCACCTCTCCCTTCACTCTCCCTTTCTCATTTTTCCATACCTCGACCTCTAGACTTGGCTCCAGGCTTCACAATCCAGATATTTCTGTCTCCTTCCATGTCAATTTGAGGCACCACTGCCCGTAGCTGCTGAAGGATGTCTTCACAACGCTGGATCTGAGAGTCAACCTTTTTTAGTTCAGCCCCCTCACTGTGGGAAATGGTGAGGTGCTCAGAGTGCAGCTGGAAAGCAATCCCTTTGTCCTTTCATCTGCCTGCATGCCCCTGTAGGAATCTAGGAAGACCTTTCACTCCCAGATATCTCACTACGCCCACACACCTGGAGATCACCATGTCTCCCCCTACCCAATTCATTTAAAGGAGCTCCTAAAATTCCAGTCTCCTCTAGGAAAACCTCCAAACTAACAGGGGAAAAGTCAAACCTTTTCTTGTCTGAATAGGATATTCTAGCTCTATTTCTAACTTCTCTCCATCCTCCTCCCCACCTTAATACTCTATTCAAAAGTGCATATATATATCAGCTCATTATTTACAATTCAGCTTTTCGTGTGCTCTAACACATACTTAATGCATCTTTTCCTAATTCCTTTTACAATTATTGTCTGTTCCAAACAATTAAGACCTCATTATAGATTATTATGTTCTAGAGATGTAGACAAATACTTAACTTACTAAACTGACCAAACAACTGGTTTCTGTGCAAAGGTGAACTTGTTCCCCAAAGCACAAAAAAAGGCCACTTCTTCCCAAAGCTCTCCCCTCTTTTCAGTTTTATTTTAGATCTTTCATTTGACCCAGAGAGACTCTTATCAGATGCTCAATCATTATTAGTATATACTGTAACATCACAGAATGATGTAAGCTGGAGGAGACCTGTAGAAATCCTCCCTCATGTTGCAAATGTACAAACTGACGCCCCAAAGACACAACATATCTTTGCCAAGATCGCACACAGGTAAGACTCGAATCCAACCCATCTGACTCATAGAATCACAGAAGCTGAATCAAAAGGGACTTCAGAGCCTGTATGACCCTGGTCAAGTCACATGACCCCTGTTTTTTGTGTTTTCTCATCTGTGAAATGGGGATAATAACACCTACCTCCAAAGGGTTGTTGTGAGGATCAAGTGGGATAATTAACTGTCAAGTGTTTAGCACAGTGCCTTGCACATATTAAATGCTACATAAATATTAGCTATTTTATTATGTATAATGATATTATAATTATTATATGGCCTAAACCATGCCTGAATCTTCTCTATAACATTCCCAACAAGTGGTCAGTTAGTCTATGCTTGAAGGCATCCAAGGAAGGAGAACCCAGTACATTTCAAAGCACTTTCCCCACTACTGGACAGCTCTAAACTGTCAGGAAGTTTTCATTTTGTAGTTTTGAAATCTATCTCTCTACAATTTGCACTGATTGCTCCTAGTTCTACCCTAAGGGGCCAGTCAGAATAAGTCTTAAACGACAGTTACCATGCATGCCCTGTCTCTCCACTGCCCTAGTCTAAAGGCAGCTATTTGTCAACCTGACATTGACAAGAGACAGGCCTGCTGCTGTTAGCCAGGATGTGAAGTCTCTTAATCTATCATTCACTTCCCAGATCAGCCTTTCTCTTTCGGAGTCCATGCTTTCAATCAGCAATAGTTATGAAAACATCACTTGCACCCTTGAGGTTTCAGTTTCTTGCCCAGGACTTCAAACTATCTGGCAATGCTTCTTGGGTTCCATCTGGCAGTATCGTATGTCCTCACTAAATCACCAGGGATAGATTAGTAATCTTCAGGCTTAGTTATTCTACGAAAGCTCTCCTTCACATCCTAGATATGCACAGCAGACCTCTCTATTACTTATGTCAGTTGCTTTGAAAGCCTTCACTGAGGAGTCATGAACCACTCCCCCTCTCTGCATTTTTTGAACAAAATACGATGCCTCTTCTCCTCTGGCCCAGGTGGCATCCAGAGTATCATTTCCTGGAGCACGAAAGACTTCTCCCTCCTGAGAGGGTTCAGCTACCCCTCTTCTACAGCAAAGTCTCATTTCTGTTACTTAGTTCCAAAGCTCAGTGATCCTTTCCCCCTTTCTTCTCTTTGTCATATTCTTCCTTCCTCCAACTGCAACCCACAGGTTAGTACTCTGTATGCTGTCTCTTCAGATTATTTTTCTTTTGTGTTCTCCTTCAAGCACTCCTTCTACTCTTTTCAGAGAACTCATCTCTCTGATAACTAAAGAGTCTAGAGATGTGTTTCTCCAGCCCTTTTCTTTTCTCCTCTAGGAGAGGGACTAACCCACATTTTGTGCATAAATAACTATTACTTGGCACTGACAGGAACACAAACATAGAATATTCTTGGCAGGTCCCTGAAAAATTCACCTTGGCCCTTATATTTGCTAGAAGCAAAATCCACAATGTTCTGTCATTCTTATTAGTAACTCTCAATGGAAAACTACCTGTTTGTTCTACCTTTGTGCCTTCCTAGGGGACTATTCAGCTAGGCTTTATTTATAGCAGGCTAGATATCTTTTCTTTCTTCCTTTCTTTCTTCTTCCAATAATATTTACCTTTTAAAAATTCAGGCCTTTTGGTATTATCTTTTACATCATAATTAGTACCCAGTATACACAATCCCTTCCCCAATGAACACTTCCTTGTAACAAAACAAAACAGTTAAGGCTAAGTGATCAACAAAGCACCTAAATCAGACAAGTCTCCCTACGTGCCGTCTCTTAGTGATCTTATTCAGCTACCCCAAGTTCAATTATCCTGATGTAGATGATTCCCAGATCTACACTTCCAGCTCTAATCTCTCTGATGAACTCCAGTTCCACAGTGCCAGCTGTTTACTAAACATCTTCACTTAGATGACCCATATGCATTTCAAAATCCACATGTCCAAAATGAATTTATTCTCTTTTCTCCCTTCACCTGTCCCTACTCCAAACTTCCCAATCTCTCTTGAGGGTATCACTATCTTTCCCAACACACACATTCACAAACTTGGAATCATCTCTACTTTTCACTTTCACTCATTCCCCAAATCCAAACAGTTGCCAAGTTTTGAAGACTCCAATGCCATTACATATCGTGCAGCCATCCCCTTCTCTTTACTCATGTGATTACTACTCTAATTCAGGCACTCGTCACCTCTCACCTGGGACAGTACAAGGCAAAAAAAGGGAACAAACATTTAATAAGCATCTACTATGTGCTAGGCACTGTGCTAAGCACTGAACAGATATCTCAGTGCAGTAGACTTTTAATTGGTGTCCTTGCTTCCAATCTCTCCCCACTCCTATCCATCCTCCGAAGAGCTGCCAGATAACCCTAAAGCATAGATCTGACCTTTATTCTTTTTTTTTTTGGCTAGGCAATGGGGTTAAGTGACTGGCCCAGGGTCATCTAGTGCGTGTTATGTGTCTGAGGTCGTATTTGAACTCAAGTCCTCCTGACCTTTATTCTTTTGGTGGCTCTCTATATCCATCAGTAAGTACTAAGCACCTACAATATTCCAGGCACTGTGGATACAATGACAAAAATGAAATAATTTCTGTGCTCAAGGAGCTCACATTCTATAGTATATACACATATAGGGAGATACAAAAGAGATACAAGTTAAATCCAAGGTAATTTCAATGGGGAGGGGCTAGTAGCTTGAAGAACCAGGAAAGGTCTCTCATACGAGATGATATTTGAGTTGAAGGCAATTAGGGGGTCTTAAGAGGCAGAGGTGAAGAGGGAGTATATTCCAGGCATTGGGGTGGGGGGAGAGCAAGACAACCTACACAAAAGCACAAGGAGGAGAGATGGAACGTCCACTATGAGGAAGAACAAGAGAGCCCATTTGGCAGGACCACAGAGCGTGTAGACCCAAATGGCATGTAATAAACCTGGAAAGGTGGGTTGAAGGCAGCTTATGAAGGGCTTGAAACGGCAGAGATTTTATTTGGTGCTAAAGGTCACAGGGAGCCACTGAAGGTGCCATGTTCAGACCTGCACTTTAGGAATGTCACCTTGGCCACCATATGCAGGAGGATGGGTCAGAAAGACTGTAGGGAAGGAGAAGAGCTGAGACACTAGTGCAGTACACCAGGAAGAGAGATAAAAGGTTCTTCTCTTTCGCATTTCAAGTCCTACGGGACAGGGTTTCCGTCTGTCCTTCCAGGTAAGTTAGGCATTTTTTCCCCTTTGTGTACACTCTGGCCAAAATGAGTCGCTTTCTGCTCCTTGTACAGGACATTCTGCTCCACTCCAGGACTTGGCATAGATTAGCCTCTCACTCCTGGGATACACTCTTTCCTCCCCTCTGCCTCTTAGAATCCTCCAAGAAGCCTTTCTGGGTTCAATTCTCATCTTGTCCTGGTCCTTGATCGCTTTTGGACTTATTTTGTATATAACTTATATTTATGTATCTATGCACGTGTTCTATGCACTAGTAGGACACAGGACCATTTTGATTGTATGTTTGTATCTCCGGTGCCTAGCACAGTGTCTGTTACACAACAGGCACTTGATAACTGCTGGTCGATTCATTGACACCTGCACACTCTAATTAAGCCACCTAAGAGGGATTACCATTTCTCCAGAGATCCCTCAACTGCCTGGGACAAATAATAACTTGCTCCCAAAGTCTTTGCCTCTTGTCTATTAGAAGAAGTGGGGGGTTCCGTGGGAAAATGGCTCTGCCAGGTCACATGACCCAAGTCACATGCCTCTGCTACTCTGTAACCCAGGGCTAGTTATTATACTTTTCTGAGCCTCCATTTCCTCATATAAAATGAAGATGTCAAGTCTTAAAGTCACTTTCAGCCCCATAGCTATAATATTTTATCAGAAGTCAGTGACTAACTAGGCACTTACTACATCTTTCTCTCTCTTCTTTCCTCTTCTTCATGAGAAACTTCCCATTCACCTTCCAGGGTGCTCTTTCCTCTACACAACTAACATATGTTTATTGATTCACTGAGCTTGAAAGTTAATTTCTCTCAGTACCTTGCCTACTTATGAAAGGCCTTCAAGCAGGCTTATATATTTTAAAATACATTTGATTATTCCAAATTGCTAATAATAAGATAAATGCAAATCAAAATAATTTAAGGTTTTACTCATAGCCAGCAAATTGTCGAAGATGAAAAAATATGGGAAAAGATGAAAAAAGATGAAAGGGCTGTGCAAAGACAGACACACCAATTCATTGTTGATAGAACTGTGAACTGGTTCAACCATTTGGGAAAACAATCTGAAATTATGCCATAAAAAAATGACTAAGATATCTGCACCCTTTCACCCAGGGACTCCATTGCCACGGATACACACCAAGGAGGTCCAAGGCAGGGGAGGAAAGGCCCTATATACTCTAAAATATGTGCAGTTACATTTTTTTAAAAGTAGCAAAGACCTGGAAACAAAGTAGATGTCCATCAATTGGGGAATCGCAGTATGTGAATGGAATATTACTGTGTGATAAGAAAAGATGAATATGAATAATTTGAGAAGCATGGTGAAGCTCATGTGAGCAGATACAAAAGGAAGTAAGCAGCATAAGGAAAAGTATATGTATATGTGTATGTGTGTAAATATGTATGTATACACACACACACATATACATATACATATAGACAGACAGACAATAATGTGAGAGGCAACATGATTTCATGGATATAGCACTAGACTTTGAGTAAAGAGGATCTGCATTCAAAACCTGCCTCAGACACTTATTAACTGTGTGACCCTGGGCAAATCACTTAGCTTTGGCCTCAGTTTCCTCATCTGTAAAATGAGGTTGAAATTGATAGATTCTAAGGTCCCTCAGCTCTATGATCCTATGTAAATGAAAAGAACAACAAAAAGAAGCTGACTGCTATATAATTATAATGATCAGGCTTGGCCTCAGAGAAGGGAAAAATGTAATTCCTCCTTTCTTTGTAATGGTGAACAAACTATTATACTCTTCCTTTTATTATGGCCTAACCAAACTGGGCTTCTTTCTGTTCTTTACACTCAGTTCTGTGCCTTTGTAATGGCCATCCTCCAAGCCTAGCATTAGATCCTTCCTCTCTACCTCTGCCCAAGATCCCTCACTTCTTTCACTACTCCACTGAAGCACCATCTTTTACATTAAGCCTTTCCTAATTTCCCCAACTGCTGGTGCCCACCCTCCCTAATTTGTATTGTACCATCACATTTTCATTTTATATTTGTCTTTTATGTAGTTTTTCCCCCTGTAATAACTTATAATATGCACATGTTGTCTTCTCCAGTAGAATGTAAGCTCCTTGAGGGCAGGGACTATCTTTTGCCTTTTTTTGTATCCCCAATGCTTAGCCTAGTGCCTGGCACAGAGTAGGTGCTTAATAAATACTTGTTGGCTGATTGAACAGTACATATACTGTCTGATTCCACTGATGTCTTAGTTATTTTTGTGGAACTGATTTTCCCCCTTGTTCTTTCTAATTCTTTATTACAGGGAATGGCTCACTAGATAGGGGAAGGGCAGGAATATAGCCAGAAGTGATGGTGATGTAAAAACAAGAGATAACAATAACTTTTTTAATTTGAGGATTAAAAAGAAAACAGACTATTTGAAACACAGTCTTTGGACTACAGAAAAGCAAAAGGAGATGATATTTTCAGGAAGCCACATTCAGCAAACGACAACACTTGTTGTCTGGCTCTCTACATGTATGTTTTCTGTTGCTCAGGAAAAAAAGTTGGCTTACATAGTAATTTTCATTTGCTGATCAAATAAAACATACAAACTGATGGTTTATTAGTTGTCTGCATTGGTTCGATATTTTATTTACTCATTCAAAAACCACAACGCCACCACTCTAATTCAGAGCCAAATTGCCAATCGCCTCTAGGTTCTTTACCTCCAATCCAGCCTGCACAATGCCAATGAATTAAGCTTCCTAAAGCATAACTTTGATTGTCATTCCTCTGCTAAAACAACCAACTAACCACCAACCTATTGCGTACAGAATAAAATTCAAACTCCTCATTTAGGCATTCACGACCCCCTACTATCTGAGGCAAAACAAAGTCATTGTCCATGGTACTGTTGTATCAACTTCTGCCAGAATGGTTTTTTGTCTTATTTCCTGCCTCTGCACTTTGGATTATACAGTTCCCAAAAGTTCTTCTTCCTTTCCTGTATCCTTCCCCATCTAAACCCTATACTTTCAAAGTTCAGCTTAGGATCCACTTCTTCCATGAAAGCTTCTCTGTCCATATTAGTTCACAGTTCTCTTTCTCTCTTGCACTGATTCCACTGGATTTATTACCTATGCACTCAATTTGCCATTATTTACTACTGAGTACTTGCTAGTTATATTTTTATCTTTATTGGTCTCATCTCTTCTTCTGTGTGGTAGGCTTTTTGAGGGAACGGTTAATATCATTATGTTTTTTTCATACTCCTCAATGTCTGGCACATATATAATTCATTGCCCAATCATGACACTTGATTAATCCAAAACAGTGATTCCACATAGTTCCTGAGAAGTCTGAGAAGGCTTCATCAGAGAGGTAAGACTCCCCATAGGCCTTGATGAATACATAGTATTTATACAATTGGTGGAAGAGGGACATTCCAAACAAAAGGAACAGCATGAACATGACCAAGGACTCCAAAAGTGATGGGCAAGTCCCCAAACCACTCAATGCTCTAGGCAAGTCTCTAAGCCTGCAAGTTACAGAGAAGATGCCAACCTTTAACGGTAGTGGGAGTTTCCTAAACCAGTGAAATCCAGTCTAAACCCTACCCCTATGCCTATGTACCCCCCTTTCATCTTTGTATGTAACCCCATCACCTTACAGATAATAGGTACTTAATATCTCTTGAGTCATCAAGTTTAAGATAGTAAGAAGGCCAATCTAGTGGGAGATTGTAGGGGAGAAGAAGATATGATTGGGGAGGGAGAGTAGGGCCAGATTATATAGGGTCTTAAATGCTGAGTCAGAGTTTTGACTTGACCCTATAGACCACCAATGACTTAATGATAATTAGCCTGGTGGTAGTCATGTGCAGGATAAATTAGAAAGGAGTGGGGCAAGGATATAAGAGATATGTGCATTGCATATGTATGTACAGGTAGCACCAGGCTTTATAATATGAGACCCTAGAGAACAGAGTGACTTTTTTTTTTTTTTTGAGAGGCAATTGGGATTAAGTGACTTGCCTGGGGTCATACAACTAGTGAGTATCATGTGTCTTGAGGCTGGATTTGAACTCGGGTCCTCCTGACTCTAGGGCTGGTGCTCTATACACTGTACCACCTAGCGACCCCGAGAGTGACATTTTCAACAGCTGTCCAGAGACAGGGCCCCAACCAACTGCTCCTAGTTTCAGCTTTTGGATATTGTTTTTGAGAGTTTTCTTGGACCATAATATTAGGTATTAGTGAACTAGGGATATGGAGAGTGAGTACAGCAGAGGCAAGTACAGCTCCAGGCTGAATCTGGCACAAAGGTTACTCAGCTCACCTAATGGTGTGATTTCTGTCTGGATTCTGCAACAGGACAACAACACAAACTACTTGTACTCCTGGCCATCTCTCCCTAAAGATAACAAATACATGAATGCAGAAAGAGGAAAATACCCTGGAATCCCACACCACTTTGCCTGTACAACATCGATCCTCTCTAGTATCTACACTTTCCCACACATAGTTCTCTCTGTAAGAAACAGCGTTTTGGCCAATTCGAATATAATGTGTTGTTTCCAAAGCTTCTTTAAATAGTATCCTTGATGCAGGCCCAGAATGGGTAAACCACCTCACCCAAGGTCTTTGGGTCCCCCTGTGCTCCTCATGTCCCAACACCCCATTTTCTGTGCTAACCCACACTTACTGGACCACTTGGTAGTAGCGCTGGAGAAATAAAGTCCAATCAGCCTGGGTCAGGTACCCTGGAGACTCTATGGTCTTGTCAATATCTTCATGCGCCAAACTTCTGAGGTGACCCTCACAGGCCTGTAGCGCATCTTCAATCAGCTTTGACGATACCTGCTTGAGTTCTGTTTTTTTATCCTGCCTACCCCCTGGAGAGTCTGGGGGTGATTCTGGAGGAGAAGGAAGGACACAGAAGGAAGGACCGGTCCTTGTGCCCACCTCCTGCCTACACACAAACAGGAGAAGAAAGCAGGAAATTCTCCCATATGGAGGGGAGAGCTGAGGTACAATACATGATTTCTTGGAACCTAGTTGTTCCCTATGCCTTCTGATCTCAAAGTTGTTTTTTTTTTTTCCTGAGTCCCTGGCTGGCAAGACCCCTTGAATTTCAGGTCTGTGGATGAGGGAGGAAAATTGCAAGACTTGGAGTAGGGGTCTTGTGAAGAGTAGTCCTGCCCCCAAAAAAACAAATGTTTGCTACACTGTTTTGTATTCCTCAGTACTCAGGTACAAGGGATTCTGGATCACCTGCAACTTTCTACTTTTGGTGTCCTGCCTTCCCAGTGAGAAGACAAAAAGCATGTCTTCTGCTGAATCTGTCACCCCAGCAGAGCCTGGCACAGGGTGGGGTCCATAGAGGATGCTGACTCAGAGTTGGATGACTGAACAAACGATGGATGGAGGTATGAGTAGATGGATGACCCGTGGTACTTACCTGCCAGGGTCTTTTCCAACAAAGTTGAGGATGATTTTGTCTGGTCATTCTCCAAGTTCGGGTCCCACGACTTCACCACCAGCTTGAGAACGTTGCGTGCGGCTGTCAGCCAGAAGTCCTCTGCTCTCAGGATGGGTTAGGAGTGAGGGGTGGGGGACACTCTCCTTAGCACCAGCCCATGGAAGAGGGAGTGGGGGGGTGGAGGGACAGAAGGGAGCAACCTCGATTCCCATAGCAAACTAAATATTGCCAGAATTTGGTCTACTTTTATAGTCTAATCTGGGCTTGGTACAACTGTTGGACTTGAAACTTAGACTTGGTACCCCAGATAAATATCAAATATCAACCTAGGCCTGACATCTAGTATAGACCAAAACCCTAACATAGACATGGTACTTATTATAGATCTGGAAGCCAACGAGTCCTACACCTAACATCAAATGCAGATCTTGAACCTACCTAGTGCAGTTCTAATACCTAATGTGAATTCAGAGCCCATTTAAAACCTGGAAGCTAATGTAATCTTACCCAGAACAGATCTAGAACTCAACCTAATCCTGACACCTCAAGTGGATCTAAAACCCAGTCTAGACCTGGCATGAATCTAAGACAGAACCTAGTCTGTACTATTCCTTCTTAAGGCATCTGAATTGATTCAGCTAGTTCAATATTGTGAGCATCTTAGGGAAGGTATGATCAGGAAAGGAACAAGGCCTAGTAGACAGGGTCAAGGAAGGAAATCTGGCAGGGTAAGGGTCACCCAAACTATGACTAGACAAAGCAGAGAATTCCTCAAACAGGGGTGATTCCCTAGCCTTAAGGAGTGAGGAGCAGGTGTTGGGGAAGAGGGCATCATCCTACCCATGAAGGCCTGTTTCTCATCCTCGGCTCCCAGGCGGTAGCAGCGTGGGAAGAAGGAGTCTGCATTGGCCTCATCAAACCAGGGCAGGTTCCGGAGGTTGAGGCACAGACCAACCTAGGAAGTCAGCCAGAGTAGGGAGCAGGGTGGAACTTCCACTGAGCTTGCCAAATTGACTTAGGGGGTTCACCCATACTTTCCATACATTTCCAAGCAAGGGGAAGACCAGCAGTGAGCTGAATATTTAAAGACTGCTCAAAGGACTGGCAGCACCCGAAGGATGTGGCTAGATCGCTATGAAGAGGGTGTCCCACCCACAGGCACTCCATTACAGGAAGGATGGTCTGTCTTTTCTGCCCCAAATTTGCTGATTCCCACCCTCCATACCTTTGGTTACACTAGTCCCCATGCCTGGAACGCCACCATCCTTCAAGGGCCAGTTTCAACCTTGCCTTCTTCTTCCTGATCTTTCTACTCCCTCAATGTTCTCCTTTGAACCCTGACAATTCTATATTGTGGTCTATACCACACAATTTAGGACTGAATCATCATTTATCTTGTATTGATAATTGCTTTCTATGTCTATAATTCTTTTCTCCTCATCTCAAGGGTAGGGACTACATCTCACGCTTCCTTATAAGTGTCTAGAGCAGGAGTAGGCATGTGGTATGTGTGCAAGAATCGTATTTTCTGACTGACTGATTGGCGGGGGACAGGGATGTTTCCCTTTCCTATATACACCTAAGGCTGAGGGAGTGCTGAGTAAGTCTGGCCTGGCCTGCCCCCTTGGTGTCCCCCTTCCCCTCCCCCACCTCTATCTAAGGGATCCTACCTTAGTGGTGAAGGAGCCTGCCCTAGCATAATGATTTATCATTTGCTCTTTGCAGAGGAAGCGGCAGTCAATCATATCCCTCCGGGTGGTCCAGATGAAATAGGGCACCTCATTTCGAACCATTCGGGACTAGGACAGCAGGGGGAGGGTGGAAAGTGGAAAGATGAACAAGGTCATCTCCCTGTCCCTCTATGGGCCCTCAGCTGAGCAGCCCACCTTCTTACCAATCCCTTAAAATATCCTGGAGGGATTCCCTGGGAGAGTTGACCCTCTGATCTCTAAACTGAAGGAAAAGGGGGGCCCTCTCCCCATTACCATAAGGTCATGAATGTCATCTATATCTTCAGGATCTGGCTGTTGACTTTCATCATCATCTTCTTCATCCTCTATGGGACAAAAACCCCAAATAGGTAAGGCTCTGCTCTGTTCTACTTAACCCTCCTTTCAGAGCCTCTACTCATCAAAGAAAAAAAAAAACTACAATGGGACCCTTTGTACAAGGATTCAAGCAGACATTCAGTGGGTGGCCTGGGCTGGCTCCTAACTATAAGAAGACCATTCCCCTGGGATTCCATCACCACCACAAAGCCAGTAGGATCATCCCTTCCACAAAACCCTCACCCTCAAGCTCTTCTTCTTTGGCATCTTTTCCTTTCAAGGTCACTCTGGATATTCATTTTAAACTTTCACCCACAGAAACAAGCTAGGGGCTAAGAAGGGAGTAGGGTTGCTGGTTAGATTTTTCATCACCCCTCCCCACCCCAGCTCTAGCCTTCGACTTACACTCTTCTCAGGAACGGCTTCAATCCCTCCCAAACTCCCCAGAGGTGGTGGTGTGGGGGGTGGGGAGGGGGAAGAATGTGAGGAGTCAGTTATTATTACCTTCATCGCAGTCTTCAGGGAGATCATTATCTCCAGATCCAAAGCTGTCAAAACCTTTAGGGGGATGTATTGTTGGTGCTGCTGTTAAATGGGGAATCTTCTTCTCCACCCAGCCCCGGCGGCGCAGGATACCTCGGATCACGGGGTAGCGGCCCTGGATCATGAAGACTTTCTTCTGCTGTGGGGTGAGGGAAGGCAAGGGAGAAGGAGGCTGAGGAAGCAGACAGAATGTCAGTGCTCCCTGAGGCCTTATTCCACCTCGGTATTCCCCTGACTCTGACAGGTCTCCCTGTTCCCCTTTCTTTCCCCCCTCTGACCTTGATGGCTCTCTGCACCACGATCTTGGCATTCTTAAGCCGGTCAATGTTGAGTGGGGCCCCAGGGAACCCTTTCCAGACAGACATCGGAGCTTGGGGGCCTACAGTGAGACAGCCAGACAGATCCTGGAAGCTCTTCTGCCAAGCTCTCCTCCCAAACCCTGTTCTGTACAGTCTAATCCTCTATCCAACCCTTAGGAATCCAGGTCTTTACCTTTTCTGACTCTACCTATTCCTGTCCTTCCATCCTTCCATTCTTCCATGTCTTCTCCTTCCCAGTGCACTGCCTGCTTCTGATCTTTCTACCCCATCTTTTATTTCTTTCATCTCCTATTCCCCCATCCTTTAGTCTTCTGTCCTACTTCCATCTTCTACCGTCTGTCCCCTTCCCCTATCCTGTGCTCCTTTCCCTATCCATGTCTCCTGGTCTCTTTTTCTTCATTCCTTGTTTCCATCCATACACCTCCTGGTCTCTCTTTAATCCCATTCCCCTAACAACCTATATCTCCTGTCCTAACCCTTACCCAAACCCCTGGCTCCATGCACACATTTTTCCTGTTTGCTTCTCTTCATCATCAGCCTCTAATCTTATCTGTATCTTTTTTCCCCCCTTTGGTGAGGCAATTGGGGTTAAGTGACTTGCCCACGGTCACACAGCTATGTGTCAAGTGTCTGAGGTCATATTTGAACTCAGGTCCTTCTGACTCCAAGGCCAGAGCTCTTTCCACTTTGACACCTAGTTGCCCCATGTATCTTTTAACCTCCATCCCACTAACCATCCATACCATTAAGTCCCTTCCCTGAATACCCTATCTTCATCTATATAATTGGTTCCCTCCTCCATCTCCTTCCCTCCAACCAGTCTCCGTTCATATACATTCCAAATTTTTTCTTGCTTTCCTAATCCTCATCCACACAACTAGTTCTATCCCTCCAATACCCTTCTCCCCAGTCAGTCCTGATCTATCTCTCTCCTGGTCCCCTCCATCAACACCTTTTCCCTATTCCTCCATCTTTTTCTTCATCCTCTACCCCCAATTCCTGGTTCCTTCTCTGACTCCACTGTCCCCATACATAGAATTGTTCCCTCCCTCTATCTCCTCTCTCCTAATTCCTGAATCATCACCTCCCTCTTGATCCCCTCCTATCTATGCAGAGCCCTATTTTTTTGCATTCCCGGCTACTGCCCAATCCATACACCACCTGGTCTCCATTTTCTAGTGTCCAGTTCCTCCCTATCTGTCATATCTCCTGGTCCCCTCTATTCATCTACTACCCTAGTCCTCCCCATCTGTTTCTCTATATCTCCTGCCCTCTTCCTTGCATCCCCTCCTTATCCATATATCCTTATTGGTTCCCTCTATCTTCTCTCCCCATCCATCTACCTCCTGATACCCTGCCCCTAGCCTATCTCCTACTCTGCATCCCCTGTCCCCTCCCTCCCCCCCTTCTATCTACCTCCTAGTCTTCTCCCTCCTTCCCTCCCTTGCTTGCCCCACCCATCCATGTCCTCTGCATCTGGTGTTCGCCTCCTCCCCCACCATGCACACACCTTCCACCCCCACCCCTTTCCTTGGCAGGTGGGAGGAGGGGAGGAAGGGAGGAGCCAGGCGGGAGGGGACAGATGAGCCAGGCGGGAGGGGAGAGATGAGACAGGCATGGAGTGAAGGGGCCCACGTCCAGACTTCACCTTCTAGCCGCGGTTTGTCCAGGGTCGGCGCGCGGCCCGGGGGCACGATGCTGTTTTCAGGCCGAGGCAGAGGGATGACCTTGGCCTTCATCTCGCCGTCCGCGGGCGCCGGAAGGACCTGGTTCAGGTTCCCAGACCCCGAGCTGTCTGCTGGGAGGAAAGGCAGCTCGGGGGACTCACCCTGGCCGCTCAGGGGCGGCTGCACCCCCGCAGCCTCAGTGCCCGCATTAGAAGAGGCTGCGGGGGCCTGCGCAGAGATGGTGCCGGCTTCGAGCCCCGGAGCGCCGGACCCAGGGGCAGCTCGGGGCCCCGTTAGGCTCTGCAGCCCCGCATTTGGGGCGCCCAGGCTCCCGGGCCCCCACGACGTCGACTCGGTCCCAGGCCAATGCAGAGCCTGGAAGCGGGAAGCGGCCGAGCCCGCTAGCCGGGGTCGGCCCCAGTAGGAGTTAGTGCGCCATGGGCTGGGAAGGCCCACCCGTGGCTCGAGGACGCCAGGGCGCCGGGGCTTTACGGCGCTGAAGCCCGGCCTCGGCCAGACAGGCTCTTTGCATAGCTGGTCGCCCCTGTTTGCGGCCTGGGTCTGCTCTGCATACCACGGAGGGTCCCCCTTGTATACCGCCCCGAGCTCCCCACCCCCCAACGGAACAGCAGCCCCGAGGCCCTGCATAGAACAGGCGAAGTCCCTCGCAGGCTCCTCCGCGTGAGGGGGTGAGGTGGGGGAGGGTTCGTCCGGCCGGCTCTGGCCCGGGGAGTTTCGGTCCTACGCGTGACCCCGCCCTCTGTTTAGCGTTGTTATGGAAACCATCCCCGGGGCACAATAAAGGGGGGGAAGGGGCGTCACCTAGGTGGAGCGAGGTTCGGACTCCTGCTGTGAACCGGAGGCGGCTTTGCCTCCCAGGGCAAATCCCCCTCCCTGCGCCTCACTCCTAGTGGACGTTCGCCCCAAGAGGCTGCTGGTTGTAGCAACCTTCTTGGGAAATGCACGAGGGAGAGGATGCCTCGCTACTTGGCTGCGTTTCCTCCCAGATGAACCCTTTTATCCCCTTAGCAAAGTGTGAAGGGAAGGCCGATTAGGCCAAAATTCTCAATCCTAGAACCCAAAGGATTAGAAGGGGATGAAGCTCCAGCTACTGCTATGGATTGGTTTCCACCCACGGTGGCCACAGGTTAGAGAATGTCCCAAGGCTGAGCAACCCACTCCTCGAGTTGTGAGGGAAGCTGGGTCCCGGGTATGCCATCACACCCCTCACCCCCATCGCTGCTCTCTCTTCACACACACAGCACAGACATCATGCAGCCCCTCAGAGGGCAGGAAAAGATTTTAATGGGGTGTGGTCACCAGATTAATAAAAGTCACATGGAGTGCAAGAGCAGAAGAATGGAGGGCAGGCAAAAGGATGGGTGCACTGATTGGCAGGGGCAACTACTAGGGAAGGATTCACCACCTCTAGCATGGACAGCAATGGACCCCCAAGAGGCAGGCCTGAACAGAGGCTTCCCTCCCCACCAGAACCTGCCTCTGTCCCAGGCTCCAGCTCCTCAGGGCTCCTAGGCACAATGAGGGGCTGTCTTACCTAGCTTTACCCCTACCTCAAGCTATCTTATGACAGCAGCCCCTCAGGCAGATCCCAGAAAGCCAAGAAGCAGCCCCTGTGGCCTGTGATAGGACCAAGGAGGCCCTGGGGAGAAAGGCAAAGAAAGAAGCTTAGCCTGGAACCTTTCTTCTCCGCACATCTTGGGGAGGGGGGGAGAGGGAGGGTGAAAAGGCCACAGTCACCTTTTGGCTCCAGGCCCGCCCAGACCCACAGCGACCAGTAAAGTAACTGGAGGTGGTTAAATTGGTTTAAAAAAAGACAAAAGGTTACAATGTCCTACAAGCACAGAGTTTTAAATTTCAAGACATTAAAAAAAAAACCTGTCCCAGCCCAGGGGACTAAATATTGATGGCCAGGCTGACCCACTGGGTGTGGCCTTGCAGGTCTACTGCTGTTTTCTTTCCAATAGCAAGCTCTCCAGCCTGTGCCCTTCATCCCCAAACCCTGTCCCTCCCCTTGCCCCAGGGTTCTTGAGCTCCTCCAGGGCAACTTTGCAGAGAGGAGAGAGGATGGGGAGGGAGCAGCCAGAGATCCAGTCAGATGCTCTAGAACTGTGAAAAAAGCAAAAGAGGAAACTGGGATTAGATGCTCAATGGTGTTGGCATTGTATTGATTCATCCAACTTTGTCAGAATTCAGCTAAATAGACCCCATCTAATTAAGGTCTTCAAAGTTTCCCTCTTCCTTTCTATCTCCTGCTACCTAATATACCACTCCACCCCTCCAGACATTACTTATTCAGCAAGCACTTAATAAATGCTTACCTTGGGCACTACACTAAGTGACTAAGGATGAAAGACCCATGCTCTTCCTTACTTCATCTCAGCTGGAGGCTGCCTGACCTAACAGACCAGCCTCTTAGTCTGGAGGGGAGAAAGGTCCACCATTTGGTATCTCACTGGTTGCCCCACCACTAACATCCATCTCTGATGACTATCATTATGCCCACGTATTCCTGGGTTCTTGAATTCTACATCTTCTGTTTTGGCAAGGCCTATCTCCAGCTGGACAGGCCTGGTGACAACCTGTCATCTAAAGATGAGCCCAGCTGAGTTTAGAAAGATTTGTCAACAAAGGATTAGCAACTGGGACCTGAATTGTTTTAAGGCCACAACAAGGTATGAAGACTTCCATTAAGGCAAGGCAAGGCTGCCATTTGTTGGTGGAAGAGGAGCCCACACCAATGAAATGATAACTCTTCTGAATACTCCAGTGGCAGTCTCTCATTCTCTGTCTTTCCCTGTCCCAAACTGGATTTGTAAAGTCCTTTAGCCCCATAAAGTTAGGGACTCTTTTATCCTTCTATTTCTTTGATCTCTCCCACAGTGCTCATTAACAATGCTAGCTAGCATATATAGTGGATGTTAATAAATGGCTGTTAACTGATATTTCCATCAAAGTTCTCCAGCTAAGTCTTTTCAAGGTAAGGCCCAAGTCCTGGGTCCTAGAAAGTTCTATACCAAGCTGGAAAAGCTTCAAAGAACCAGTGACAAAATCTGTCCTCAAAAGGAGGCTCTATTACCAAGGGGCTGGCTACCAGGTGATTATTATTAGTGTTTTGTTTTGTTTTGCCATAACAACTCAGCAGACTACTAAGGTGCAGGCATCAGTAAAGTACCCACAAGGATGAAATCGTGTATCCTTGAAATGCTGAAACAGAAGTGGAATGCATTGTTTCACCCTCAACCTGGGGCAGCAGCTACTCAACAAATGCTTATATTAAGTACATAAGGACAAATTCAAAGCACCTTAGACTTCAACCTTAAGCCACCACAGCATCTACTCAATTTCACTGGATTATGAATTCCTTGAGAGCAGGGATTATTTTATACATCTTTCTATCTCCCTGGGCACCTGCACAGTGCTTTGCACATGGTTCAATAAATATTTGCTGAACTAAGCTTCTCATCTCCAGAGCTGTGGTTATTATATCTATTTTCTGCACAGAGAGCATGAGGTTTAATTAAATCCCAAGAGAAGCTGGTAGTAACTGTCATTTTCAGGACAGTGAGTTTCTCCTGGACAAGGTCTATGCTTTTCTATGCACAATAAATACTAAATTAGGTATCTGGGGATAAGAGTTAACTTATGAACTGAACACACCAAGAAGTGAAGTTCTGTGGGACTCAAGCAGAGTGTGTGTGTGTGTGTGTGTGTGTGTGTGTGTGTGTGTGTGTGTGTG